ATATATATATATATATATATTGGTTTATATGCACTTGTACATATGCATATATATATATATATATTATTTATTTGTTTATGTGTATATAAATATATAGTATATATACATATATATATATATATATATTACGTGTGGATTATATACACATAGATAGAATGTATATACACATCTACATATATATACATGCAAACATATATATATATATATATATAGAGAGAGAGAGAGAGAGAGACAGAGAGAGACAAACAGAAGCAGACGAACAGACAAACACAGACATAGAGAAAGAAAACAAAACCAAATCAGCAAATAAGTAAATAAATAAATAAACAAATAAATAAATAAACATACCTTTAACAACTCTGACAGAATATAATACAAGTACTGGGGGACAGAAGCAAAGTGCGCCCCATTCACATTCCATATCTGAAGACACCCCAACAACCCTAAACCCTAAACCCTAAACCCTAAACCCTAAACCCTAAACCCTAAACCCTAAGCTGAAGCTTTTCATGCAATAAACGCTTCTATCTGGTGCAGACTTTGATTGTGACGGTGAGAAGAGACAGAAAGAGAAAAAAGCAAAGGAGACAGTAAAGAAGAAGACAAAGGAGACAATAAATAATAATAATCATATATTGATAATTAAATAATAGTAATAATATTATTATTATATAATAATATTATAAAGAACGAGACTATAGAGAAGAATAAAACTACAAAGGAGACAATAAAGAGTAAAAAAGCGACAATAATAAAATATTGAAAAGGAGACAGTTGATAAGAAGAAGACAAAGAGGGAGGCGAAGAAGAGACAGCAAAAAAATAAAACAAAGGAGACAGCGAATAAAATAATAAAGGAGACAGTAGAAGACACGAAGAAGACAAAGGAGTTAATAAAAGAGACAAATAAAGATAAAAAATAAAACGAAGGAGACAATAAAAGAGACAATAAAAAAGATAAAGAAGAGAGTAAAGGAAATAATAAAGTAGACAAATAATATAAAAGAGACAATGAATAAAAAGTATAAGACAAAGGAGACAGTAAAGAAGACAATAAAGGAGAAGATTAAGACAAAGGAGACAAAAAATCTGCTAACTTTAATTTGGGGGCAGCGGCCATAGTGCGAGTGGCAGAGACGCTCGGTGTCTGCAGCAAAACAAATAAATAAATAAATAAAGGAGACACGCTGCATGCATGCAGCCCTATTAAAATAGATATACATATATATATATATATTTATATATATTGTATATGCAGAGTAAGGAAAAGGAGACAGTACACCCTAAAGGCGTAGAACGAAAGAAAAAAAGAAAATGCAAACAAACAATAAAACAAAGACAGAGAAACAGAGACAAATATACACCCTAAAACCCTAAACCCTAAACCCAGAACAATATATATATACATGTATATATATATATATATATTTATTTATATTTATAGTCAGCAATAAACCCTAAACCCTAAACCCTTAATTAATGCAGCTACACACCTTCCGCTGCTCTCTTCGTCACCTGGAAAGGGTCGCACGCTGCAGCGGCATACACAAACCCTAAACCCTAAACCCTAAACCCTAAACCCTAAACCTGAAACCGTAGACCTCAAGCCCTAAACCCTAAACCCTAAACATTTTTTTCACCCATGTCTACGACGCCGTTGGGGGTTAAGTAGCTGCTTGTAAGCATTTCAGTCCCTGAGGAGACAGCAGAAGAAATAGAAAGAGACAGAAAAAGAGACAAATAAAGGAGACAGA